TATACTTAGGATCTATGAGAACATGTCTTCTGAACAGACAGGTCTGTTATGCACTTAGTTTGCAGAAATGAAGAAAAAAAAACTGAGAATGCATTTCTCTGAGATTCATAGTATCACAACCTGCTAGAGCTTGAATGGAGACAGTCACATACATTACCTCAATTTTAAAGGAAAAAGAAATCAGTTTCAGTAAGGTTAATGGCTTGGGCTCTAATGATGTGCTTGAAAATTAAGTGTTTTTTTTAAATAGCACCATTGATACCCTGAGTCTACACTTTGAATCTTTGATTGTTTAACCAGAAACAAAAGCAAGAGACAATCTGCACTAATAAAAGAGAAACATGCAAATTGGTGTCACTCCGCTACCCTTCCCATTGGCTAATCAGGGCTATATGCAAATTAACTGACAGCCAAGATGGCGGTGGGCAGCCAGGCAGCTTGAAGCGAACATGAGGCTTGCTTGCTTTAGTGATGGAGGAAGCCAACGTTCCCCGCCTGCTGCTGCCGGCCTCTGAGCTTGCAGTTTGAAACATTGTTACAAATATAGAAGCTAAACAAAACCCCAGAAACCTACTTTCAGCCAGCCGGGATCTCAGAGCTGGAGTTGAAACAGTGTTTCGATTATAGAACCCAAACAAACCAGATACCTGCTTTCAGCAGCCGAGGCCTAAGAGCTGGAGCCAAGCCTCAGAGCTAAAGCTGGCCCAGAATTAAAAAAAAAAGAAAAAAAGGACAGGTTGGGAGCTTCAGTCACCCGCCAGCCTGAAAACAGCCCTCAGCCCCTCACCCAGACTGGCCAGGCACCCCAGTGGGGACCCCCACCCTGAAGGGTGTGTGACCAGCTGCAAACAGCCATCATCCCCTCATCCAGGCTGGCCAGGCACCCCAGCGGGGACCCCCACCCTGATCCAGGACACCCTTCAGGGCAAACCAGCCGGCCCCCACCCATGCACCAGGCCTCTATCCTATATAGTAAAAGGGTAATATGCCTCCCAGCACCGGGATCAGCGGAGCAGCGAGGCCTCCCGGCACCAGGATCAGCATGACAGGGGGCAGCGCCCAAACCCCCTGATCACCCTGCGGCTCTGTGTGTGATAGGGGGCGGGGCCACAACCTCCCTATCCGCCCTGCTCTGTTCGTGACAGGGTGCGGCGCCCCAACCCCACCGCCCCACGGGCCATGCTCTGTGAGTGACAGGGTAGAGCCATAACCTCCCCATTGGCCCTGCCCTGAGTGTGACAGGGTGCGGTGCCCCAACCCCCTGATCGGCCCTGCTCTGTGGGTGATAGAGGGCAGTGCCCCAACTGCCCCCCACGGGCCCTGCTCTGTGTGTGACGGGGTAGGGCCATAACCTCCCCATCGGCACTGCCCTGAGTGTGACAGGGTGCGGTGCCTCAACCCCCTGATCCGCCCTGCTCTGTGTGTGACAGGGGGCGGTGCCCCAACTCCCCTATTGGCCCTACTCTGTGAGTGACGGGGGGAGCTCCTCAACCCCCTGATCAACCCTGCTCTGTGCGTGACAGGGTACGAAGCCCCAACCCCCCTGATGGGCCCTGCTCTGTGAGTGACAGGGGGCAGCGCCCCAACTCCCTGATTGGCCCTACCCTGAGCGTGACTGAGGGTGGCATCGCAACCTCCCAATCCGCCCTGCTCTGTGCATGACAGGGGGTGGCACCCCAACTCCCCAATCAGCCCTGCTCTGAGCCCGACCAGGGGCTGCACCTAGGGATTGGGCCTGCCCTCTGCCACCCAGGAGCAGGCCTAAGCCAGCAGGTCGTTATCTCCTGAGGGGTCCCAGACTGCGAGAGGGCACAGGCCGGGCTGAGGGACCCCCCCCCACCAAGTGCACAAATTTTTGTGCACCGGACCTCTAGTTAAATTAATAATAAGATAAGCAGCTCTAGGACACAGAACAGAATGAAATACTTTGAAAAAAATAGGAGAATTTCACGTTGTGATTTAACTCTGCCATTGACCATAAAGAGGTTTTAGTTGCTCAGGATATGAGTAGCCTTTTGAGCAGGATATGACCATGTGTAGACCTCTGAGTTGAGACTTCCCTTCGTGCTCCTTCTCACTAAGCTGCCTCTTGTTTTTAAGCTTTCTGGCAGACATCAGATCTCACAGGAAGCACCATTGTGAATGTTCATGTGGATGGTTAATGGTGCATTGTTTTTTTTTTTTTATGTCACTCAGTAATTTCCCAGAGAAAACAATGGGAACCTAAGAGTGTTCCTATCTTGAAGGAAAGTCATCTTCCAATATTGTTTTATTAATTTAACACATGCAAGTGTTTGTCCTTGTTGCTACAGTAACATGTTTGTAGGGTATATTTGATGCAAAATGTGGAAAAGCTGAAAAAGAAAACAAATACCATCTGCATATTGATGTGATGGGGTAAGTGACTCTCGCCCCTCAGTGCAATGATGCTGTATTTGGGTAATTTGTAAAGCATTTAGCTAATAAAAACAAGGAGCTAACCACCTCCAGGTAGTTTCTGAAAAGCTGGAAACACATGAAATTATTCGTAATTAGGTGTTGGGTGGATGTTAGGCACTCCCACCATGTATACAGACACAACTAACATGTAAATGAGCCCACTAAGCTCCCCAAGAAGAACAAGCCCATTTTACCTCAAGGTGAGCAGACTCTAAGCTTTTCTGACATTCATCTTATAGAGAGGGCTGAGGAGCTAGGGCCCTGCATGCCAGGCTTAGAAGCAGTTAGCACCCAAGTCATCTTGGTGTGAGCCCTCCCAGTGGGAGGAAAGTCTAACGGGAGGTAAGTGATTGAATTTCTAGGGGTGGTAATGAATGATAAAGATGCAGCACACTGTGTAAAGAAGCAGGTGTTGGGGTACCACAGACCCTGGTTGCCAAACTCAGTCACTAACTGTGACCTAGGGCATTTACTAATTTTTTCGAACCTCAGTGTTTTAAAATGAGGATAATTGTACCTCTTCCACAGGATTGCTCAGAGAATTAAAATTATGTCAGGGATTCAGCGAGGTCAGGCCGCATAGTAAGTACACAATAAATGGTAACTATTTTATGAATGGCACAATTGTCAACTATTTCTAGCTCTCTTCCTGTTAGCACATGTTGAATTGCTGCCTCTCAGACGTTTACTGTGGCTGTGGGATTTGCTTTGGCAAAAAAAAAAGTGGGTGGAAGTGCTTTTTTTGAGGGAATTAAAGAGCCAGCATGTTCTACCACACTCTCTTTCTCCCTCTGCCTTGGTGACAGGCAACATTTCAGATGACGGCTGCTCCCCCTCCTTGTGGGCCCTGTTTGAGAAAATGTGGAGCAGCCCTTCAGCGAATCAGAGATGGAAAGTAGCACAAGAAAGAAATAAACCTTCTTGTTTTGGTTACTTTGCTTTTTCTGAACATGCTTTGATAGAAAGAGTTGGAACATTTGAGATATTTTTTTCATCTAGGGCAATCTCAAATTGTGTCTAACTCCTGAGAATGATGTAAATCCTGTCCTGTTGAAAATTACTTTGCAGGACCTATTTTGTTTCCGTGTTTCTACTGACTTGCCTTGCACAGAAGAATTGCTGCAGTTGCAATTTCAGACCTCTTGCAAGACCACTTCCCCTAAATTATTGAGCGCTTTCCACATTACCAAGAATGGGACTACATTACCATGCAAACACGCTTAGCACTGCAAAATGTAAGCTTTCCTCTAGAGGCACATCTGTCAATCACACACAATTGCTTGTTGGTTTGGGAATGTGGAAAAACAAGTTAAAGTTACCAAGAGCTTTTTTGACATAGGCAAATTCATTTCATTTCTGACTTAATATAGAACTGGAAAAGTCTCATCTTTTCTCACCCTTTAGATATTTCTCAGCATTAGTTCAGTCTCCTGTAAGAGGTTAGGATGAGTTTGTCTCCTATAATAGGCCATTTCACATTAAATGTATGTTAAACTAATATTGACCTTTCCAAAGTAAAACAAAATCTGGCATTTTGTTCTCAAAAGACTGAAGCAGCAGTAGATGTTGAAAATAGAGGGTTAATAACCGTGGTTTTTTTTTTCTTACTGAGAAACTCTCCCTCTGGGAATTAATTAGTCATTTTTATATATCTAGCAATGAATGCAAGGTGCTGCCTACTCTCCTCAAAAGGGAGCCTGGATCCTTCAGCAATTCACTTTGTATAATTTGCCCACAGGTTAACCCACTCAGCCAGATATGTGTGTTTCATTTTACAATGGGTGAAAAAGTCAAGAATGTGAGCTTTGTCTGGGGGTATCCAGATATCAAGGTTGGGCAAGTTGAGGACTGGATATGGTGTTAGGATCAAGACCAGAGATGAGTGAGGGGTGGGGATACTACTGACGAGAGGAGGGTTTGTGGGGAATATAAGGGTTATGGGAGAGAAGGGAATGCCAGAGCAAAGTGAGGAAAGCAGAAACAATTTCACTAATGAGAATATGAATATGTGCATTTCATACATGGATGTGTAAACATAATCCACAGAGACCAGTGCCCCCAAATAAACCGCCTGTGCTATATTACCCTACATGGAAAAGTGAACCTCAATCTGCTTCTTCCCTTTGTCTACCTGAACAAATAAATTAAAAACCCTATACTTGGGAACAAGTATTTCACCCAAGTCTACAAGTAGGTTTAATATATTTCATCCAGGAAATAAACATCTGTTGAAGTAGGAAGCATATTAATAAAAAATGTGTAGTTTTGGGGAAAAATCAGATCTTTCAGTGTTACCAAAGTGAGACATCTTTGCTTAAATTCTGTGAAGAGTCCTATGTAAGTATTTGAGAAGATGCATGGTTTTTCAGAGATGTCATCAGGGCTTGCTTTTTTTTTTTTTGATGGTGTGCCTTTGTGACATGGTTCCACAGTGACTTAGTGCCCATTAGCCTTCTCTTCTCATCTGAAGGCACTTGTCAGGCATTGCGCTTTTTCAACCATCTTTCTAAATGACCAAAATCATCTTCAACCCTAAATGTGCCAGGTCTTAAGCGACCTACCTGTATCCACTCTCTGTAGGAATCTTCTCCAGGAGTCCATCCATTCTCAGGGTAATTCAGGCGGGAGCGTTCTGAAGACCAGTTGGTGCTATACTGGGAAGAAGCTGTGATTTGGTCAGAATGAATCTCTCCCGATTCCATGCCCAGAGCTTCCATACATTTGAAATCTGAAAGGAGGAAAAAAATGGCCCAAAGTCATCAAAACAGGGCACCTGTGTTTCTTCTTCTTTTTAATCTGACAGACTAAAAATTTCATATTGTGTTCAAACAAAGTTTTACAAAAGATGACAGTAAAGAACTTATTAGAAGCTAGGACTCATATATGCATTTTCGTGGCAATAATTTCTGTTTCTGTTTTGTTTGCCCATTTATTTTGTTTTATATATTCTACATATAAGTGGAGCCACACAGTGTTTGTCTTTCTCTGTCTGATTTATTTCACTTAGTATAATACCTTCTAGGTCCATCCATTTTGTCATCAATGGTAAGATTTCATTCTTGTTATGGCTGAATAATATTACATTTTTCACATGTTCTCTTTGATTTATCTATTGATGGACACTCAGGTTCATGGAAATATTTTTTTTTAATCCTCACCTGAGGATATATATTCCTTTTTTTTTTAGAAAAAGAGAGAGTAAGGGGGAGAGAGAGAGAGAAACATCGATGTGAGAGAGAAGAGAGAGAAACATAGATTGGTTGCCTCCTATATGCACCATGTCTGGGGATCAAAACCAAAATGTGCCCTGACCCAGAATCGAACCCACAACCTTTTGGTGTGTGGGATGACAGTCCAACCAACTGAGCCACCCAGCCAGACCATGACAATAATCACTTAAAGCAACACTATGATGACCTCATAGTGATTAAATATTTTTCCAACTGGACCAAGGTTGACAGGAATACTATTAGAAATTGGTAGGAAATGATGGAAATTCCGATTTCTTTTCAAAGTTGAATGTATGTAGACATGTCACATGGGCACACACCAAAAATTGTGTTTCAATAAAATTTTACTATTGAATTATTTCTTACAGTATTTAATAAAGGTGAAAAAAATTCTATGTCCATTTACAATCCATAGTCAGTGGACACTAGTCCTTAACTCTGTTTTTCAGAATCCTTGCAATTGGCACCCAAGCCACCTCTTCTGCATCTTTTAGTTCTCATGCTACCTGCTCCTGGCCTAGTCATGATTATTAAAATCACCAGTTTATTTTATTAAAACACAAAAGTATCTGTCAGGGGTAAATGCAGTATCATATGATCCCAAAGGGCACAACAGTTTAAGAGTTTTAGAGCATAAAATAATGCTAACAATGATGACCTTGTATTCCACTAGGTCTCATACACTAAGTGAAAAAATAAAATATGAAATTGATATGACATATGATATTGGAAAATGAATCATTAATTTTAGGAAAATGTGAATCTAAGGCACTAAAGTGAAAAAGGCTTTAAAAATGAACCATCCAGAAAATCTCAACTAACCAAAATTTTACATTTTTTGAATTTTCTATCACAATAGGTAAGGTTTTAAGGCATAAAAGGTTTTCATTCACTGGTTTTATACTTTTAAGGTTAGGTTTGTTATTTGTAATATAAAAATATTTATAGCACAAAAATACATGGATTAATTAATCAATTAAATTTCTTGGAATTTAATTGGCCTTTTTATTTTCCATTAAGATCTGGTATAAAAGGTCTCCAAACACCTAGTCTTCTCCTTATCTTACTTTACAACCCAAAAGCTAGAACTGATGAAACAATTTATTCATTGTTCTTCGTTATTTTTCCCCCCATTGGGCCCTTAAAAGCTGGAAAACACATAAACTTTGAGGAAGGGCAGAGTTATTTGAGTATTTTAATAAGATATAAACAGATATTCCTTTTTCTTTCTTTTATGCAAAGTTGTAACAGAAATTACATGCTTCTTTTACATGAATATCCATTTTCATTCACTTAAGAAAGAACAACATAACGGTTTCCGCAGACCAAACCATGGCACACCATCCATTCTATATGGCTGCCCTGTCAATGAACTCCACAGATTCATCCTTATCATCCATGATGCATGCTTGTCCTTTTAGGAATCTCAGCCCAATACATATTTGAAGGTGCCAGGTAGGTGGCCTGGCATATTTCATTGTTTCAAAGCACTGTTTTTTGATTTCCCACTTTCTCCCATAATTTCAGAGGCTTATAAGCAAACACCTCAGGTATAATTTTATTAAGAAAGCACACCAGATAATTCTTCCTATTGATATTCGTAAAACCCACTTAAAAGAGAAAAATAAACACTTGGCAATCCAATTCACGAAACATTTCTTTATTGTTTCTTGCTACCCCTGGTGTGTGAGGAAGAATAACAAGGAGTATTTCCCACAGGCTTTGCAAGGTGAATGAACACTGACCTTCAGAGAGGCTGCTCTGCAGGACGCTGTAGTTTGCTGAGAAGCCTTCTTTTGCTATCGCACTGTCAGTATAAAAAACCATCGATAGAATGCCAGATGAAGAACGAACTCGACCTGGTGTTTTCTGTCCACAGTAACGTCCAATGTGAGGGCCAACTGGAAAGGGAGAAATGCAGAAAACATTAAAATATATTTTCTTCTAAAGCAGATGCAAGAACCCCCATTTGCAAACATGGGTTCCAGTGGAACCCAGTGTTTTTCTACACAAAGCATCTTCCCTGGCTAATTGCTTTGCTTTGAACATATCCAATCAGGTTTGTGGAGAGAATTTCCAAGTGTACTCAGAAGAGCAGTAACAGATATCACCACATTCCCTGGGAAGCAAGTTGTGTTCAGTAACAGAATCAAAATGCTTTCTTCACTTTCAAAGAATGAGATTTGGGCTGTTAAGTGGAACCTTGGAATTCATCTCCAGGACCAATTCGATGCTGTGGTGAACAAGGTCTCTTAGAGTTGCCTGTCCTCACTGCCCTGCCCTAGAAGGAGATCCTAAGGAAGGCCTATGTCCTGGGATCCTGGCTGCAACCAGGGCAATACTCAGGGTCTGATCCAACACTGTGTAACCCTGATTTCTTCCCTCATTCTATATTTTAATCCTAGAGCCCTATTATGACAAATATCAGTGACTTTGATAAAGGATCCTGTCCAACTCAGAACTTAATCTGAAGACTAATTTACAATTGTGACAATTTAAAAATTTAGAAACTGTAGATACCAATCATTTATGCAAGATAGCAAGTTGTAATCAAAATGAAATGAAAATACATCTTTCTGACTTCGGTCCTAGTTTTTTTCCCTGACTGCGTTGCACTGGTGTCCAGAGGCCAAGAGCTGGTCCCAGCAGCTATTTGACTGTGTGCACCAGGAAGAAAGTAGTCCCTGAGGCAGTCAAGTTTGGGAATGCTGATTGATTTGTGATAAAGTTAAATTGCTATTTGGCTTACACTGGCCACACCCTTGTTGAAGTGCTTTTAGACAAATCTTGGCAATTAATAATTATAAATTGTCTTATGGATGGTGCAGGGCCATCTGGGTTTGGAGAATCTTTCCATTTCCCTGTCCAGATCAATAGCAAGACAAATAAAAAGTATCATTTTCTCTAGGTTTTTACTTTGCACATATGGTAAAAACGTACCAGATGGTTTGGACTTAGAAAGACAATCTGACGTGGACCATTTTACCCTCCAAGAAACCCATGATTTTGTGCATTTCAACTAAAAGTTATTGCTTTGTTCAAGAAAATACAGTAGGTGGACCTATCCCTGGCAGGATAAGCCTTCAACAGGGAAGAGGTGTTCCAAGGCCTGTATGTGCAGCTTGGATGCAGAAGGCTGTGGACGAGGGCTCAGAGAAACTCCAAGTATGACTGAAAAAGCGAACCCACAGAAGTGATCAGCCTGGAGTCCCACATATCAGCTGAGTTCTTAGGTTGGCAACTAATTTGAGAACCCTTCTTTTTAGAGTGTTCATATTCTTAGCTAACAGGTTTTTAGTTCTTAGCCAATACTCTTGAAAAGAGAACAAAAAACACAAAGAAAAAGAAAAACAAAATCTAACCCCACGTAGTTTACATATTTGAGTTGGTACAAAAAGGTTATTTCATGCATTCAAAGCAATTGATTTGACAGAATTCAAAGAGAACAGACTATCAGCTGTCAGAGGGGAGAGGATGGAGGGCTGGGTGAGAAGGGTGAAGGGATTAAGCAAAGAGAAAAAAAGAAAGACTCATGTGGACATAGACAACAGTATGGTGATTTCTAGAGGGAAGCGGGGTGGAGGAGATAGATGAGGGTAAAGAGGGGATAAATGGTGATGGAAGGAGACTTGACTTGGGTTGGTAAACACACAATATAATATACAGATGATGTGTTATAGAATTGTATGCCTGAAACCTGTATAATTTTATTAACCAATCTCATCCCAATAAGTTCAATAAAGAACACACCAAGAGTTTTCTGTCTATTGTAATCCCTCACTCTTCAGCAAGCAAACATTGTGTGTATGTTTATATTGCTTTATTATGAAGGAAACAAGAAGGCTGACCCATTTAGGGGAATTGATAAAGATTATCTAGAATGCATCACATGGTCATAGGCAGTGGCTTTGCATTATGGGAAGAACATTTCGTTACATTCCAAGTTGGCAGAAGAGAACATTTCAGAAGATGAAACTTTTGCTGTTTTTTGTTTGTTTGTTTGTTTTTCTAGCTTTAATCCTGGCCTCAGATTCTTTTGTAAGTGCTAGTACTTTGCTAGATTTTCCTCATTCCGAATGTGGCCCTACCACAATCCAACACTTTTTTCCTTTAATATGGAGTGTAAAGTTGCCCATAACATATGCATAAAAATATCTAGCTAGAGTATAAACTCAAATATTTTCTTTCCTTAAAAAGAATCCCATTTCTGGTCTTCAATCTTAATGGGAGGCTTAGAGTCCATTCATCCTCCCTCATTTAAATTCCATTATTGTGGTTTCATCACTTTCTTTTTCTTTTGTTTGTGGGCAAACTTTTACAGCCTTAATCGTTGGGGTCCTTCTCTGATCACCATGGTCACTGACCTTAGCAAGAATATAGGGCACAAGGGAAGTTGTAGTCACCCCCTTCAGCTCTGGTTGCTGATCCTCCCCCACCACTGTCACCCAGTTCCTCTGGAGAGGGTGGGGGCAGGGGGAGTCTTTTTGAAGGAGCAAACAGAAGAGAACTTGTCTACTGCAGACTCATAATTTAGAGTCTCCATGACTCACTGGTTTATAATGTGTATGGCATGCTGTGTAAATCTGCCTTCTGTCCTTTAGAACATTGCCCCAGACAGCAGAATACAACTCTCTACAGGAACCCTCAAGATATGAGAGTGAAAGGCTTTTTCGACTATAATACAAAGAAGTATTGAATTTTCCTGAACAACAGTGAGACCTTAGCCTAGCAAACTAATGCAATATTGATCTGAGGGAGAGTGGGTAAAGTACTCTTGTCCGTCTCAGGTTTGTGTGCATTTGTGTATTTACATGAACACAGAGACTAGATTTCCTTCTCCCATTCTTTTGGACTCAACACCAAGGAGAAGAAAATTGTCACAAAAACAGAAGTATCATTCAAAAATTGAATTGTTGAAGAATTTAAGCGAGCAATATGGACTAAGCTATCTCTTGAGGGAGAGTAGAACTGCTACAATTCCTAAAATCATTGATATCTTCTCAGGTGTGAAACCAATATAGTACTTGTATAGTTTAAAAGATATACCTGGAACTGGAAATGGTAGTACCTCATTCTTCGTATTTTCCCATTAATCTCTCCAATAATTACCACCCTACTTCAGAGTCAGACACTTTGGCTTTTTTCTACCTTTTTACTTTTTTAAAAAAAGGACAATGATCTAATCTAAAGAGGTCATTTTAAAATGAGGTATTTTGAATGAATGAATGAATGAATAAATAAATAAATAATGGAATCATTTCAGAAAGGTGCAAGATAGGCTATGTATATTAGTCTTACAATAATGAACCTTTTGGTGGAGAATATCTGGACTTTGCAACTTTTCCCCAGAAAAACACTTGCATTTATATTTTGGAATGTTTATATTTATGTGATTTATATTTTATATTTATAGTTTAGAAGGTTAATTTTAATTTAAAAGTAAATTTTTAAAAACAGAACTCAATTTAGCTTTTATGAAAGGTATTCCTAAAATCATCAATAATGCTTAGGATATAGGTAACAAGGATAGTCCCAGCTTCTCCCCCCCCCGTCCCCAGAAGGGGGCTGACTTCATCTGCATCCATGTGGTGTGAGTTAAGCATTCATACTTGGTTCCATGATTCAGCACAAGCATTTGTGGCATCAACCAGGCAGCATGCTTAGCTATATGTTTAAACTTCCTCAATTACTTCAGAGTTGCTACTTGTGAATCCACAGAGCTTCAGAGAGCATGATAGATGGAGATATGTGGTTCACAACATGCATGCCTTGGATTTCCAGTTTTGGAGTGAACTGCTTTTCTTCAAAGTCTATTTGAATCAATGGGTAGCTTTGAATTACTTAGTCATCTAATTTAATGTTTGTGATAAAATGCAACATAAAAATCACTTGGTGGTTAAAAGCCTTCAGCGCCTTCTGGTTGTTGTTTTTGGAAAGAATATCAAAGACTAAAAGCAATTTTGCTGGCAGAGAAACTATGTATTGAACTACTATGAAAAAATGTTTCTAGTGCCACTGACAGAAACTCAGGAGAGCACACAGTCTCTCATTTTGGCTAGGAGAGTGAGCTGCTACGTTGGCATAAGATGGACAAGGCCAGGTAAACATTAACAAATATACAAACACATTTTTTCCATTCCAAAGCCAGTTTTCTCTGGGATCAAGTCAAACTCACCATAGCTCAAAACATGGGTGAATTGCAAGGCTAACAACTCTCATTGTTAATTGTTCTTCCCTTCAACTCAGTGATTTTCCAAAGCCAGAAAATTACTACTTTGAAAAACCCTTGACACTAATAACAATGTGCTTCTTTCTGAAAGTATTCTAAATAAGGTGGTTGATTAGACCTCTTTTTCAGATGTTAATTTAAATGTAAGTTCTAGAAAGGAAGGCTGCAAATTTGGGTTGTGAACAAATGAACCCTTTATTAAATGTTCCAACTATTATTACAATACTATTATAATATTGTTTTCCTAATTATTGGATTGAATACTTGGAAATCAATCAGTACTCTGTTTGGGAAAATCTCATTACTTAATGAAGGAGTTTCCTTAAGATCATCATAACCCTATTTATATGGTAAAAGACTAAAAAAGCAGCTAAAATAATGTTAACTTATCCATGTATTCCAATGACAATATAAGCTTTCTTTAAACCCAGTTTTTCTCCTTTACTGTCTAGGAACAGGAACATAACTAAATTAAATTACACTGATAATTTAATGTCATTTCAAAGTCAAAGGCAATTTCTTTTACATTATACTTGTTCTCCATCTATAATTTATTTAAATACTGTTTCCTCCAAATTGATAATATCATAAAATAATATTTTATAGATGGTTATATATGTCTAACTGCATGATTTGTAAGAACTTCCAAACTGCCCTTTCTGATTTGTATAGTGTATTCTCTAGAAAAATATTAATATTAAACCAGACTAAACACAAGACAAGCTATGCCATGCAATGCAGCTGCAGCAAATTATTTGATGTTCTCTCCCGCTGTTCAGAATTTGGGTGTGTATTTTTGCCATTCTTCTTCTAATTCACAAGGATTTAAATGGAAAACTTTCCTTTAGGTGTCCACAGGGCTACCTCTCTGACCTCCCTCAAATCTTAGCTCAAATATCACTTTCTGTAGAAGACCTAGTCTGACCATCCTATTTAAAAATTATTCCACACATCCCTCTCCCCTAACACTAGCACTTTTCATACCTTCATACTGCTCTATTTTTCTTTCTTTCACTTTTTTCTTGTTTATAGAACTTCTCACCTTCTAACATTCCATACATATAATTCATTTATTTGTACTATGCCTTGTTTATTGTTTCATTCCCCCCCCCAAATCTAAGCTCCACAAGGATAGTCATCTTTGATGGTTTTATTTACCAAGTGGCTAGAATAGTGCCTGGGACAGGGCAGGTGCTCAATCAAAAAAGTGTATAATGAATTTAGATGATAGGAACAATGAATATGAAGAATGTATTGAGGTGATTCAAGTTGCCAAAGATAAAAATTCACTAGAAGTGGGCAAGGTCTGTCTAAATTAGAAATGTTCAAACATTCTCATTCCTCTTCTAAATTTTTCAGTAGCATAATGGATGCTTATTTCACCCCTAAACTTTTACTAGGTATTTAACTTCTCTTAGGCTCAGCATTGGTAAAATGAGTGGTTTGATTTAATTTATCTCTTAAGATATTCTCCTCTAACAGCCTATGAATTAATGACCAGTAGACAGGTCAATAAAATGAACAAAATACTTTGGTCAGGAAAACTATATATTGGTTTTTAATTATATCACAAAAAAGTATGAGGTTTTGCATGATCATTCAGGGTCTCAGTTTCCTTATCTACAAAATGAAGGAGTTGAACTAATTACTAAGGCTGTTTGAGCTCAAAGCTGCTCTGCATAGAATTATTGATTTCCTTCCTCCTTCTGAGCTATTTTTAAAAAATGATGCATGTATCATGACATGTGTCAAAGGATCCCATTACCCCCCCCCCCCCCCGGCCCCTCAGGTCTTTCCCTTTTGGGGATTCTTCTTTCCCTTCTTACCATCAGGGAATCCATCCCAGATTTCTAGCCGGTCATAGCGACAGAACATGCCCCCAGGAGAATTTGAGTCAGGCTCTAGGTCAAAGCTTTCAAATTCCAGGATAATCTCTGACATCTTTGGTGCAAAGATAATATAAGTGCATTCAAGGCTATTGGGATATTTTTCAGGGAATCCAGGGGATTTTATCACTCCACTAGGGCTTGTGTAGTTCTGGGAACACTCAGGACCTATGAACAAAAGAGAAAAAGGAGCAAAGTGAAAATCCCTTTAAATGACTTCATTAAGAAATAACCTGGGCAAAGACCACATATCTTTCTAATAAAAGCCGATCTTTGCAATCACTGTCCAAATCACTCAGCCTTTTCATAGTACTACTAGGTATGAAAAGCCAAGTTCAGATTTATTGTCTTCACCTTAGTTTTCCATTTGTGTGGAGCAATTAAAAAACTTCTGCTGTTTAGAGAGAAAAAAATGACAAATATAAAATCACATGGGAACAATGAATGAGTAAGTACAGAAATCTCTTGACAGAGTCCCAGAGAAATAATTATAGCCCCTTCAAGCTTAAATCCTTAAATCTTGAGACTGACAGCCCTTTATTGGTGAAATGGAACATTTACAAAGGCGAGAGGGAGAATTCAATGGAGAGAGTTTGGGTTTCAGATTCCTACACCAGTGACTCAGTAACTTTGCCAGATGTGACCTCTACCTTTTTGACAAACTAACTGTGAAAGGTAATTCGTACATGTACCCAGGGTGAGTGACTCATTCTGAGCGGTGTTGACACAGGTGTGCTGGTAAAGTGTGGCTGCTAGTGAGGGCGCCATAACTGTGATTACAGGCCATGCTGCTAGAAGTCACCTAATATCAAGGTTGATATCCTAACCTTCCCCACAGTATCAGAGACAGTACTGTCTGCCATTCTAAAATTATATATATGAGTGTAATGTATATATTTTTAATGTGTGATTTTAATGACTATTCATTGATCAATACTTTACAAATTATGGTGATTTGTAATTTAAATTGATCAAGCATATTCAGACATATATTAAGCTGACCTTATGACTACACAAATGACACAATTTCAATTCATGGCATCCAGCACTAAATAGGGTGGTCTTAAAAATGTATACACATACTTTGAATAATTATAAAGGCAGTATTCACTAAAATGCATTTCATTTTCAAAATTGAGCTATCAGCTATTAAAGTGTGTATACATTTTGGGAGACTATGATATTGGGAATCCTTTAGAATTTTATTTCCAAGATGTAGGAACAGTGACCCTGGAGACCTCCAACCTCCTCCCTGGGGCAAACAATATGTTGGCTAGGTCCTTGTAAGGCAAAGCAAAAGCAGGGTTTAATGCCGGTACTGATATTTCCTCCTTCTTAGATAAAACTATCCAGGTGAGATTAAGATAAGTGAGAGAGAGAGAAAAATGACAGAAATAAGGGCATACTTTAAAAATAAAATATATTTCAATGCTTTCACTGTGTCCTTGTCCTGTCAGATACCTTTGGAAGCTAGCTCAGGTTTTCTAAAGTATTTGACAAAAGCTGGGAAAATTCCATGTGGTGATGGAAGAGAACTTGATTGAGCACCAGAAGGTCTGAGTTCCAGTCCTGCCTTTTTACCACAAATCTGCTGCATAGCTTCAGTGGTCTCCTAACCTTTCTGTTCCTCAGAATCTGTGCATTGCAAATGGGAGGTAGACTTTGGGATTTGAAAAAAAAATCCCTTTAAACTTAAAAGATTCTATAATTTCCTATTTCCTCCATCATACATATTTGTTTTAATATTTTCCTTATTCACAATTGCATAAATTTGCCACAGTTGAGCAAATACATCCCCAGAAAGGAGATGGCAGGAGTGGGTTAAGGAATTCTGCAGTGAGTATACAAGCAAGGAACAGGAGGGAGGGCGAGCAGCACCCTATGCCTAGGAGCAAATGAGCTGCTGATACAAGGTGCATGCCCAGCACTGGAGCCAGTGAACACCATGCTTCTGACATTATCTGTAAAACTGAGAGTACTCTGTGTAGCTATAAGAGTGACATTTCATTATTAATGGCAATAAAAATGGATAATAATAATAGCTAAGATACTCTCTTTGGAATAATTATTAAATATAGAAACTTTTAATCAAATGACTTACACAGAGACTCATCCCCCTCTTAGTAAATGCGCCCCTCTCCTGCACTGAGACCCATAGAAAACGACTACAGCTTTTTTCCTGCTTTGGGCCTGGATGGCCCAGGCCAAGGGAAGGAAGGGAAGAGTGATACGTGGGTTGGCTTGGATTTCCCACAGAAATTTCTTTAGGTGAATGGGAATGATTTTAGGGCTGGTGGCTGAAGGTTTCAGCACCTGGGAAGAGATGTAGAAGGGAAACGGGGGGTACCTGGGGAGAGACATTGGGTTCCAGGATGGTTCTAGGAGGCATAGTGAGGGGGACAATGTCTTCTTGAATTTTTCAGCAATAACAATGTAGTTGGGAAAGGAAACATGCATGCATGAAGAAATTTGAAAATATTCTTTTTAGAAATTTGAAAATATTAAGAAAAAACGTAAGTGAAACATTTGTGTGCATATGAATACATTATGTGTATATATATGTATATATTTATATGTAGGAGATAAGTTGGGTATATGTATAGGAAACAAAGTATATTAATTTGGAAGAGCTTCCTGAAAAAAATTCATTTAGACAGAGCTAGCTGCTTATATAAGTTAAGGGCCATAAACCGAAGAGAGAAAGGGCTATGAATCCAGAAGGCACCAGGTTAATCCATAATCATTGCAACAATAAGTTCTTATTGGACACATCTTCAGTGCCAGGCAGTGGCTGCATGTTTTCCATTTCAACTGATCTTTACAACAAGCTTGTGCTAGATAATATTATCCATTTTTCGGATGAGGAATTGGAGGCTCTGAACATTCTCAAATAGTAAGTGGCAGAATTAAAATTCACATTCAGGTCTGCTGGGCATTACCCAGTGCACTATCCTGAGGCAGAAAGCCAGCTTGTGATCTGTGAGAGTAGGAGCTGGAGAAGGTCCTGAACAGGTGATGTTAAGCCTTGCACTTGACCCAACAAGACAATGAGGCTTGACTATGACCCATGAGAACTGCCATAGTCATTTTGAAGACTATGGCTTGAGGACTGCTTGAGAAAATGTATGTAGAATAAGAGAGGGTGGAGAGAACCACAGATTAGGCCTGTTTAGTTAATGGCAATGGGCATGGAAAGGAAATGTGACTCTGACATCTTAGGGTAAAATTCCAAAGAACTAGAAACCATATGGGATGTAGGGAGGCAAGAAGAAAAAAATCAAAAAAGGCTTTCTGTTTTAAGGATGGTGCTGGAGAGCAGGACAGAGAAATAATGGTACATCTGAGACTAAGAGAGCGAAGGGAATGGAATTCTTTTGGAAGAAGATGAATAATTCTTAATGACATAGTAATAGATCTCTCTCTCTTTTCTCTTTCAACCATTTTCAGATCTTTGAGAACACTGAAATGGCTGTTCTCTCAGGCCCTTTGGTGGCACCATTTTTCTTTGTAGTGCCATATGCAGGTAGAGCGAATATAGATATGTGTGTGCATATGTGTACAAAATGATTTAACACACCAAATGGCTTTCAACACAAGGAAATATGTACATATGTAATCATCTGTACATATTGATGTCATATTCATACTGAAGAGTTTCCAAGTATGTACTTAAATAAATGTCTGAAGTAAGTTCTCTTCATCTATCCACATTTCTATGGGGCAGTGCAGATATCTTTGAAATTTTAAGAAGTTGTATCAATGTTCCCAGAAACTCCTAATGACTCCTTTTCACTATTCTCAGTTGTTGCTGACCCAGAAGACCTTAGGCATTTGCCATTGGTATGGCTAGATTTGTTCTATTTTTAAAAGCTCTTTTGCCTATATTCTAGGACAATATATTCAAATCTTGAACTTCTGTCCCTAGATAGGTCCTCCACACATTAATGTTAAGGGAATAATTAAATACAATAAATATAAGTGAAGTATGAATTTAATGCATCAAAAGATTCTATAGGCTGTTGGAAAAAACAGTTATATGTAGGTAAAGATATATTGTTTATAAATTGACTGATATATATCTTTAATTCCTAAAGGCTGGGAGACCTGATTTATCAGATCCTATCTCATATCAATATATAGCATTGGAATAGAAGATTAGTAAGTAATTATATTGGAGGGGTAATTGACATGCAATTCCTAAGGGGAATGCCATTGAAAATGTTACTGCTCTATTTTTTCCAAGAGGTCTTTCCCCAACAATTCCCCCATTAATAGAAATCCTCCGATAGCTTTAGACACTCTAAGGCTAGTGGACTGCTTTGCTTTTCCTGGGAACCACCAGGTTTAAATTTTAGAATAAAATAAAAGAAACAGGCTATACATAACTTTAAGGCAACAGGACTGCATTTTTAATGGGGGAAAGAATTAAACTTCAACAGTAGATAAAGCATATTTTAAGAAGAAATGACCTTAAAAGAGTTTAATGGAGTATATGCCTTATAAATGGTGGTTAACACATTAGAATCATGCAATTTTGATTGATGAAGTATTTTTTAAAAAATTTAAATATACTTCCTCCATATAGTGGATACTTTTCCTTTGTTTAAAGTATTTCTAACATTTCTATAATGAGAATACATGATTTTTTTTCAAAAGGATAATAGCATTTACTCCTTGTCTTTCTTTTCACTTTGTCTTTCATGAATCAAACAATCTTAGTAAGCACTTAGTTGTATTTGTTTTACTCTAGGTTACTCACCTCTCTTGAAAATTTCATAACGTATGGAAAATCCTGCACCATGTGTCTCATAGTCAGAGACAAATTTGATGAAAAGAAATGGCCCTGAAGACACTATAGGAGAAGGGGCAATCTTTCCACAGAACTTTCCCCATAAACGTCCATCTTCATTTTCTCCATCAATGACTTCCACATAGTCATACCTGGCACAGAAACATGGAAGGAACCATTAGGTTAGCAAGAAATACCCTTTTAATTTCCAAAATTTAGAAACCAGCACTGTCCAGCATAGTCTGTCAGGAAAAAAAGTCCTACCTGCACTCACCACTGTATTATAGGGAGGGGAGAATCTAGCAAAATGAAATAATTAAAATGGACTACATGATGTCTGTATACATCATCTGGCAATAGAGAACTATTAAGAATAATGCTGTCCATTATACTTGCAGACAATGTAGTTAAAGTAACTAATTAACAAGAAAAAGAAATCTCATGAGCACTATTCTCTCTTATTAAATTGTGTTCCTTTGTCTCTGGTGGTGTGGTGTCAATACATAATGCTATGCATTCTTTTCAAACTATGCAGTTCTTTTATGAATTCAAAATGTCTCCTTAGCTGGAGCTTTCCATGAACAATACTTTCTGTGAGCGACCCTCTAAACATATGGCCATAGAATAATAAAGAGATCCTTTACTGTTTAACCCAATTCCAGCAAATGCCAGACTTCTTAGGAAAACGTTCAAACACAGATCATCTTCTTCCAAAACTACACTTGAATTGCAGAATGTAATTTCTCCAAAGAAAAGCAGTTTATTTAAAAATAGCAAGTAACTTTGTTTATACCCATCAGCCTGAAAATTTGAAAGAATATTGTTGTTTAAAAAGGAAACATAACACATTTGGAAATACCAAAATGATGTGATGTTTAAAAATTCAGGCTTAATGATACACTAAGGAGACAAATGATAAAGGAAGTGGCAATAAAATATTATACTCTAAATATTGCACTAAGGTAACAGATACACTTGGACATTTTTTCTCTCTAAAAGGTCTGAAAAACTATCTCCAATAAACAAGAGTCCCCAGGAAAAGAGAAAGATTTTCATTTGTTTGGAATTTTATATTTCTTAGTGTCTTGCTCTTTCTTATTACTTACCAAGTCACTAGGAAAGAAATAATCTGATTTGTCTTCCATTTTTCTTTGAGAACTGACATGAAAACATTACAATTCTTTCATTTCAAACATTTATTTCTGTGTTTAACTTGGTTCAAAAGTCTTGGGATCTATTAATTTCAGTAATGGCTAAAATATGGCAGTAGCATAAACTGCATCTGGAAATTTAAAAGAAATCAATGCCATCTTTAGCAATCCCTTTCAAACTGTCTAGGACACATTATTTATCTATATTATAAAAGGCCTCTGGCCCTAATGCTGAAACTGCCAAAGACCGATGAGGGTAGGCGGGGCTTTATGCGTGGCAGGGTTGGGGGGGCGGATGGGCGGGGTGCGTGCGGGTGAGCGGGGCAGCGCGATTTTGCACACTGGGTTTCTAGTGTTTATATAAAGTCTTAGGAGACAACTGCAAAGATAATATCACTAGTTAAAGTGGACAGTTGAATGCTCTTTAAATTAAAAATGACACTATGCATCAGTTATAGTTGTGTGCCAGTTTTGTGTCTGCCAGGAGAAAATCAAGCTGACATTGACGGAACTAAACATTAGCATGTGAATTATTGCATTAACTGCATTTCCTCTACTGCATCCCATATTTCCAGTAGCCCTTACTGGCCTGCCCGCATCACTGTCCCTTTGCAAAACTAGGAAAATACCCAGAGGAATTGTTCCTTTCTCAATACTTTTGGAGATGCTGTGCATTTTAAAAGAAGATGGAAAAGGAGAAGTAAAAGTGGAGAATGAGGAGGAGGATGAAGAAAGCAATGCGGGTAAGGGTGGGGGTGCAGCTGGAAAGAATGGCAACTCTGCATTCAGTAAAGCCTCACAAGTTGGCATTTATGTAGCAATACCTTTTATCGCCACTGCTTCATTGACTAGACAGGTCTGCATGTTTTGCCCACACTTGTGTATAATTGAATTATGATTTGAACTGTTGATTGTGTTTGTCTTGGTGACTGTGCATCTAGCTCTGCAATACAGGCTTTTTACTTGAATCCTGACATGATTTGAATACTAAGTGGCTAAATCCTAGTGCATTTTGCCTTCCTGCCACAAATAAGAAAGGTGGGCAGGCTTTCGGCAGAACTAAGGGCCTTTCTGTGAGAACACCTTTCTGCCAGGTGTGAGAGGACTTGCTAGCACCGTGCTAGGGAATTGAACAGGGAACGAAGCTAGCACTTTAATTGACATATATATCTTCTAATAGGAAATAGGAGGCTCTCCTCTTGGCAACAGTAAAAGCTATTTTTAAAAGGGAGAGAGAGACTACATACTCTTCCAGGCAAGAGATGTCATTATTAAATGCCAATTTTAGGGAATTGAATTATTCATGGATACAATAGTTACATGTATAAACTGGGACGGTGCTCTCATTTTAGCACTTCCCTTCAAAGAACCATCCAACAGGGCTCCTAAGAGCTGTATCACAAATAGCAGTTCATGTAACTATTCAGGAGGGTGTATTCGCACAAGTTGTAAAGAGTAGTGTTGCCAAAGAAGTTAGGAAAGCAGCTTGCCTCTCCCTCTGGAGTTGATACTAGTTCTATTCCATAAGTTTCTTGCTGACAAACGTGGTGCCAGGAATGCAGCTAGTGTGCCAAGATCCCTCCGAGAGACTAAATGTGTCACCACAGCAACGCACTAAGTCTTCATTGGCCTGAGGCCCACAATCCTGTGTTTGCAAATTTTGCTCCTGCACCGACCCCCGCTCCATCCCCCTCCCCCGCCCCCAACCTGGCCACAGCACAGGGCTCTATTACTGCTGTCCCTTGGCAACCACTGCGTTTCCTGGAATATCAAGCTCCCCATTCGCAAAGGCAGAGACCTACAAAGGTGAAAATGGAGACACTTTTAAGGCCCTCCTTAGCAGCTGGAGTGGGAAATGGAAATTGTGTCTTGGGCATGTAATTACTAAGAGCTAGAGGAGGGCTTGGAAAATTGACTTGTCTCTTCCTTTCGAGCTCTGCTCCTAAAGAAGAATGCTCTAGGTCAGTGGTCGGCAAACTGCCTAGGTGGCAAGGGAACCGGGTCTGTCTCAAGTGCACTACCCTTCTGTGCGGGCCCTCCCTGCTCTCAGTGTAAGCCTAATCCTGGGTCCCAGCTAGAAAAGCCCTTCCTCACACCTCATCCTCCCCATTACCGCAATGTAAACATCATGTGGATTTTTAAAATATTCAGAGGCTCCTCTCCTCCTTTAGCCATCCTTCCATTTCTTTTCTTAAGCCTTCTACCTTAAAGCTTTTCCTTTCTGCACTAATAATGGCAAAGCAGCCTACTGGGGAGTAATGAAAAGATCTCTCAACCCAACCCTTTTACAATGAATTAAAAGCAACTTTCCCATGTTTTCTGTTTTGGGATGTGAAACGCTGGTGGCTTATCTCTGGAGTATCCCTAGCTTTAGAGTGCAAGTTTCTGAAGCTAAAGGCCTTTTTGCTTACATATCCCCCTATCCTCACCTTACTTGAGAGTGATGAAAACACTTTGCATCCTAAGAGTAACCATGAGTTAGGTTTCCCATAGGAATGACAAAGGAGTAAAGATTTCCTTCTAAGAATTCTTGAAAGGATTATCCAGAGATTATGGTTTCTTTTGGAAAGTTTGAATATGGTATTAGGAAAATGGCATAGTAGAGGGGAAAGTGATGGAAAATGAGAAATGTATTCAGTTACCAAAGAGTGGTTTCCGAGGCTCTCTAGGTAGGCAGTGCTGAATATACAAACAGCACACTTTACTGAAGTGGGAGTTTCTCTTCTGGGTGTCAGTGACCCCAGAACTCTCCACAGTGAAGCCTGTTAATAGGAAGAAAGCTAGTCCTCTGCAGGGTGTTGTCTGTGTAGTGAGCCACTGTACCAGGCCCCTCACAGCTTCTGAATGGCCTGGAATTATTAGGAAGGAGGATTTTAGGCGGTGTTATCTTTTTAATCTCCTTCCAAGAGACTCTATCCCCATGTGCATATATACATTAATAATGGAGAAATTGGATCCCTGACATCATAAACCAGAGCGAGAGATAATGTTGGCTCACATAATTTTCACCTGCAAAAATGTGTTTCTTTGGATGTTTGGTTTATTCTGCACAAGGCATTAATAGCTACCCCAATTGAACAATCTGTAAGGATTACTATGCTGCTGTCCAAGAATCACCTTACATATTTTCCAGAGAAGAACAGATTTTCTCTCAGACTATTAGAAAAAGGATTTAGAAAGAAAAACACATTGATGGAGCTAGGAGGAGCCAATTAGTTTACATCTGTGTTTTAGAGTGATTTTATATCTGATTCACCCCTAACAGTTCTGTTTTGCTTATGTTTTAAGCAAGATATATGAAAAGACTTAAAAGGTTCATAGCCTCTTGTTCAGCAAAAGCATTTTTTAGAAATATATTCTAAGGAAATAATATGGAATAATGTAAAATATTTATGCAAAAAACTATTGCTTGATGCTTTATTTAATAATGGGGGAAATAGAAATAAGGCAAAGAGGAAGGAAACAAGAAAATGTATGTAAATTCAAATCATGGAATATTATTCAGCCATTAAAAAGCATGCTCAATGAAAAATGTTTTATAACAGGAAAAATGCATATGCATATGTTCTCTCAAAATCAGAACATAAAATGCTATGTGCAGTATATTCTCAACTCATTCATATGTAGAGAAAGAACTGAAAGGGAAAATGCTCAGCTGTTAGTAAGTGCTAATAAGCTTTTAATAATATCAGGGTAATGAAATTATCTTCATCAGCTATTTCTGGATTTTTCAAAATTTTTATAATGGACAAGTGCTCCTTTTTAATCAGATAAAAGTTATTTTGGAAAGCATTAACTACCTATATAGAAAGTAGAAAATCAGCACCTATTACCTAGCTAACAATTTTATATTTCTTGGTCAGAAAACACTATCTTTTATGATGTTTTGTTTGTAAAGTAAATAGAAGGCTTTGCCTTTTTTCTGAGCAACTGAATCAATGAAATTGTGTATTTTTTTTTTAAGTACTGGAAAGTTAAAATAAAACAGATTTGATCTCATA